TTTTGTAAACTAACATATCTTGTACGGTTGAAATACAGAATTAATAAGAATGTGAAAGATGAAAAAGAACTAGATTCTTTCCATTTAAAATGAAGTAAAGGTGAAAGGACTATTCCTGTTAGAAGATTAGACAAAAAATCTTGGCCCAGATTATTAAGATTTTTTTTTCCCTTCACAATGTCTTCTTTTCTAGTAGTTCTGCAACTGTGTAACAATTTAATCAAGAAAAAGGGTTGGGTTATTGGAACATTCTTGGGAAAATAACGTCCTCTGGCCTAAAGACTATTGTTGATCCTGTCTACTGCAAACTGACAAGAGTACAGTGTTTTTTAATTTTTAAAACCACAATCACATTAAGAAATATGTTTTATATCATGACCTATTGACATGATGTATATAACAAAACATTTCATCAAAGAAAACATTTTCAAATCTATTCCATTCTGTTTCATTTTAAAAGCACTTGATGATACAGAGATTATAGTAGCCTCATCCTGGTTTCTAGTTTGGACTGCACGACCACTAATTAGGCTTATCATTTTTTGCAAGCTACTTTCATTTTCCAGGTCTTTCTTCATTTGTAGAATGAATTATGTTGGTTTTAGACTTAAAAATTCCATCCCACACTGAGATATCTTCATCTCTGGCCACAACTCAGATACCAGTCAGTTAGTAGCTAGCTGTATTGGTGTCTGTGGCTGTCTATCATCCTCAGATGTTTCTGTTTGCTACTTGCAACAGCCATAGTTTGAAAAACAGACTTGATTCCTTCTTTGGCAACCTTCTTACTGAATCGTAACTAAAGAATCGTTGGAAAATAGGGTTATGCGTGCTTCTAGATAACATAGGTCATTGAGTGCCAGCCCTGGCTGCACATTAGAATCTCCTAGTAAGCTTTTAAAAAATATATAATTGATCAGTCTCTGGGACATCAGCATATATTTTTTTTAAGTTCCTCAGGGGATTCTATGTACATCCCAATAATTACATTGTCATGTTCATTCTCAAGCCACTGGAAGTCCAATTCTGTGAAAAGATTTCTGGAATAATCAGCCAAAGACCTTTGTTCTAGTCCCTACTCTGTCATTAAACACTTCTGTAAATATGGGGCAAGTTATTTGAACTCAAGTGAGTTGGATTTTCTTCTATGTATAATATAAGGCTGGATCAGCTAAGATTCATTTCAATCGAAAACTTTTCCTATTCAATTTGAATTATTTTAAACAGTAAATATTGTTCTCAAATCAAAAATAATGCTCTTTTTCATTACAAATCTAGGGAAAGTAAGCTTGATATAATTACCTGTTTGGATGTTTCGTTTCGTTTGTATGGCATTTGTTTTCCAGCAAGGTCTTGTGGAAGTTTAAAGAATTTTGTTAGTGTAGCACTGTCTAATATATATGATTTTAAATTTTCTAGTAACCACATTAAAGTAAAAATAAATAGGTGACATTAATTTTAGTATTTTAACCCAGTGTGTGCACAATAATATCATTTCAACATGTATTCAGTATAAAAATCATTGAGTTTTTACATACTAAGTTTTTGGAATCTAGTTGTATACTTTACAGTTACGGGATATCTCAGTTCACATTAACCACATTGTAAATGCACAGAAGCCACATATGGCTAATGGCTACCATAGTGGACAACATAATCTTAGAAGAAATGTTGTATAGTTTAGTTTGTTTAGTTCAACTCAAGAAACATTTGAGTCCCTGATTATAGAGCACCCTAGGTAAATATAAGTGGTACCTATTATAATGGACTTTATAATCAGGCATGTGTATTCTAAACTTATAGATACTCTCAGGTTCTTCCTTAAGAGAATGTTATTTAGATAGTGGGGTTCTAGCATCTCTAATTTTAATCAGAGGTAAATTTATTTAGAATCTATGAAATGGGCACTTGCTACCATAATATATAAAACACTCGGTATGGTGTGCACAAGGTTTAGAAGGATCAGCTATATATTTTTTAATTGATGTAATAACGTAAAATTAACTATTAACTGATAGAAAGTACATTGGAAGTGCTGTGCATCCATTACCTCTGTCTAGTTCTGAGACATTTTCAACACCTCAAAAAGAAACCCTGTACCCATTATACAATCACTCCCCATTCTGCCCTCCCTAGCAAACACTACTCTGCTTTCTGTCTTTATGAATTTCTTCTCGTTATTTCATATGAATAGAATCATACAATATATATGACTTTCTGTCTCTGGCTTCTTTTACTTAGCACAATATTGTGGAGATCCATCATGTTGTTGTATGTATATCAATATTTATGCTGATACATAGTGTGTGTATAGCCCGTTTTGTTTATCATTAGTCATTTGATGGACACTTGAGTTTCCACTTTTTGGCTGTTGTGAATAGTGCTGCTGTGAAGATTTGGGCACAAGTATTTCCTTATGTGACTTTCTCAATTTCCCAATATATTTGCAAACTTTTCAAAGCCTTTATTTCCTCAAAAATCTAAGGTCCTGGCCTTTTCTGTTTGTTTACCTTGTTATTTTTTTACCACAGGCAACAGGAGCCTCTTCATTTGTCTTTCCATGTTTTGAAACACATCCTCCTAGGAGCCAGTTCCAAGTTAGGGAAAACAAAGGGAAATCCTCTTGTGTCAATTCTTTGGGAGAAACCCCAAAAGCTATTGCCATTGAGTTGATTCCAACTCATTGTAACCCTGTAGGACAGAGTAGAACTGCCCCTCAAGGTTTCCAAGGCTGTAAATCTTTACAGAAGTAGACTACATCATCTGTCTCCCACAGAGCAGCTGGTAGGTGCTAACCACTGCATCATCAGAGCTCCTTTTGGGGAAACCCCAGTCAGGTCAAAGTAGATAAAAAATAATTCCTTGGTAACCTGCTCCAGCCAAAACCAGGTGCCCACACCAGGACACAGCAGTAGCTTTTAAGTCCACAGTCAGGCCAGGGAAAGAGTAGAGTTAAGATTAAGTTAAAATGCCACAAAGACCTCCTACCTTGTTTAAGTTGCCTTTGTTCTGATTAAGCATTCTCTTTGTTTCCATAAACCTTTGACACTTTTCCAGACTTTTGGTAAGGTTGAATCTGACAGTTTTTGCCAGCTTTTTCAATGTTTCTGAAGAGGGACATATCACCAGAGTTTTCCTACTACACAGTTTTTGCTGACATTACTCCTAAGAGCAGCTGCATTTTGTAAACCATACTTTTTGCCTCTTTACCAGTTTCCTAATACTGATTGTAAGAAATAGAGACTAGTTTACAAGGAATAAATGGTAATAAAATTAAAAATAGCTCAGGATATATTTATTGCTAACCGTCTATTAGGTTTTTTTTTTTTTTTTTTTTTAATGTATTAGGTACTTTTCTAAGCTTTCATAATATTTAAAATAATGCAATGATTTATGGGAATCTACTCTTACAAATATGGAAACTGAGTAAGAAAAGTTTGGCACCTTGCCCAGGTTCAGACAGTGACCAAGTTGAGGAACCTGGCACCAGAACCCAAGCTCTTAACCATGATTTTTATTCTTTTCCAGAGAAACTCTTCAGAAATAAGTTAGGAGTTGACCAAATTCAACTCTGAAACTAGACGAAATAAAAAAGTAGTACAATGAGAATGAACTAAATACCACCAGAGTATTCTCTTTTGAATATTTCTGATGTTTTATTTCTAGAGACACCATTTTTTGTGGAATGTATAATGTGCTAATGATTTTTTTCCTTTCACATTTCAGGTCATCAAGAAAATAACAACTTTTGTTCAGTTAACATAAATATTGGTCCAGGTGACTGTGAATGGTTCGTTGTTCCTGAAGGTTACTGGGGTGTTCTGAATGACTTCTGTGAAAAGTAGGTTTCTAAAATAAATTTTCTTTAAGCACAATTTCCTAAGCCAATTTTCATTTACCGTTCAGTAGAAAATTCACTTGAAGTGATGTGATTCCAAACCTGTTATTTTGTTTTATTGGGAATACTTTAAGAAAGATGTTATAAAACTACACTATGTAATTGGAATAGTCATGAATTTAGAGAATAGAAAGTTTGAGTTATTAGATCAGTTAAAAAGTTTTACGCATAAATACTTGCCTGTTTGAAAGTTACATATTTTGAGAAAATTTGTTTTATTATAAATGCTTTTAGAAGTGGAAGGGCTTTTATTTGAGCACCCTTATAGGTTGTTAATAACTCAAGCTTGAGCATATTACTCTTTGCCATATCATCGTTATATAAATTCTTTTTGAAACTACATTAGCAACTTTTCCTATGCAGGAATTTTATAAAATTTAATTAACTACTTAAGATTTTGTTTTCTCCAGAAGAAATAACTCACATAGTGGAGTTCCTTTCCTTAAGAACCTAGGCATACCCTTCACTTTACTTCCATGACTTCTGTTAAAGGGTACCTTGGAATTGTTTTCATTGGTTTAAATTCAATTGTCTAGGTAGAACTTACTCATTTTGTTCTTAAAAGGTACTCCATTATAAAGGACCTGATACTTTCAGTTAATGATAACATTGGAAAATAACTGTGGTATAAAAATGAAACATAAATTATACATAAATTGGATATTATAGGTCCCCCCTTAGAGAAAGGATAAAACCCATCTGAAGCATTTATATTTAAAACAACTTTAAAAATTAATTATACACATGTAACTTAAGGCTTAGGCTTAAAAGATCTTTGCTAAAAATACTTTGATTTGGTAAGAGGCAAAAGAGAAAAGATACTAATCTAAAATTTACTTAAATTAAAACAAGAGATATTCACCTTTTCTTGTCTTCATTATTTAATACTACATTTCCTTCAATGTAAGAGGGCCAAAGATGTGGAATTTTAAAGTTTTGAATGTACTGATAAAATATTCTATTTTAATCGTTTCTTACTTTCATGGACCAGCAGTCTGGTAGCATCAGAGCAAGAACAGTGTCATATGATACGTAAAATCTTCATTCTGTACAGAAAGATTTTTATTTCTTAACCTTCATGATAGTAATGTTTTGTTTGTAACTATAGTACATTGATCCTTGTTCATTATGTGTAAGTAGAGATCAGCTGTTGTTAGGGTTTAGCTTGCTTTCGTATCTGAATAGAGAAATGTCCCGGGGAAAAAAGATAATAGGCATGTGATATCAAAAATTCTTAAGCTTGGTGATAATAAAAATATCAAATTAGTATGAAGATAAATTTAAAATAATTAAGATAAATTTAACTAAGTTGCAGAAATAATACTTGCTTACCTCAGCATTGTACTTTAATTTTGTTTCCATAAAAATCATTGCTTCTGATATTGACCATTTCTATAGTTATAAACTTTAATAATACCTGTTTCAAAATAATAAATTTTTTGGATATATGATGAAAGATGCTTTCCTTTTTTTTATTTTTGTAATTTTGATATTTTTTACTTAGTTGTTGATTATTTAGGCTTGCTTTTGTATAGAGAGTTTTCTCTAATTTTTTTAGGGCAAGCCTGGGTGAAATAGGGCTAACATTTCTGTTTATAACCATTTTTTTCCTTTACAGACAACTTTTTCTGGAATGTTTCTTGGTACTTAGACTAATGGTAAACAGTAAACCAATCCTTATCCCTTTGTAATTAGGCCACAACTGTTTATCTATTCTAGACTTATTTTAGGAGTAGCCTTGAGTTCTTTAGAAAATGAAAGAAGTGACTAAGGTTCCGTCTAGACTAAACAAAAAACAAACTCAGTGCCATCGAGTCAGTTCTGACTCATAGCGACCCCTCCTTGAGTTTCTGAGGTGAAATCACTATGGAAGTAGCTTGCCCAGTCTTCCTTCTTGAGGAGTGACTGATGGGTTTGAACGGCCAGTCTTCTGGTTAGCAGTCAAATCCCTAAGGCCACCAGAGGTCCATCTAGACTAGAGGTTGGCAAACTTTCTATAAAGGGCCCTATAATAAATATTTTAGGTTTTGGAGGTCAGATGGTTTCAGTCACAACTTTGTCATCGTAGTACAAAAGCAGTCATAGATAATATGTCAATGAATGGCCATAGCTGTGTTCTAGTAACACTTTATTTACAAAAACAAGCAACAGACTAGATTTGGACCATGGACCATAGTTCACAAATCCCTGATCTAGACAAAAATTAAATTTAAGTAAATGAAAACAGTTTTAAGGTAGGTACCCTTTAACACAAGATACAGAAATAAAGTGAAGGTTATTTCCGAGATCTTAGGGAAAGGCCCCTTTCCACTATGTTAATTCTTCCCAAAAATTAAATGTAAAGTAATTAATTAAACTTTATAAAACACTTTTGTAGACAAAGTTGGCAATGTAGTTTTAAAAATACTTTATATCGTGATGAAAGAGACTAACAAGAAGCCAGATTTTAAATTTTAAAAATTATTAGTACAATGATAAAGGAGCAGCAGTTAAGTACTTGGCCTCTAATCAGAAGGTTAGCAGTTCACATCCACCCAGCCGCTCCACAGGAAAAAGACCTGGCAATCTACTTCCACAAAGATTATAGCCTAGAAAATAGTATGGGACAGTTCTACTCTGTTACACAGGGTTGCTAGGAGTCTGAAATTGACTTGATAGCACCTAACAACAGTGTTCTGATCTGTCGAATGTTTTCAAAGTAACGTGGTGGTGCTGTTGATGTGTACATGAGTGTGATTGTTCATTCTTGATAATTTTTTTCAACTGCATAGTTTTAATCAATCAGTAGTCCAGACAAAATAGAGACTGACATTGTATCCCTATTTTCTGCATTTGTCTTCTGTTTTCCCTCAGAAATTGAGGTTAGTTCCTAGTATTTATATCTGCCATAAAAAAACTCACTGCCCTTGAGTCAATTTGACTCATAGCAACCCCTCCATGAGTTTCCAAGGCAGTATCTCTATGGAAGTAGGTTGCCCAGGCTTCTTTCTAAGGAGTGCCTGGTGGATTTGAACGGCCAGACTTCTGGTTGGCAGTCAAATGCCTTAGGCACTATGCCACCAGAGCTCCTGTGTCTTCCATAGTGCTCCTGTTTGTGGATTTAAATTACTTGATGCCATCTTCACCTTCTATTTACCATTTAGGGATTCCTAGGTTCTCTAGGGATAAGAGTTCAATGGAAAGAGTCTCTAATGAAATGAAACTAAAAGTTATTTTATGTAAATGCTACTTAAAATTAGCTTTAAATTTCATTTGGATCTTTGAAAAAATCAATTTATGGTAGTAATGCTGATCTTTGCATGAGTTATCCAGTACTCAGCTGCAATTAATTTCACTGACTTTGAAATACAGTAGTTCTTATTATTGCACAGACAATTTTTACATTTCGATAAAATAAATGAATGTTTTTAAACACTTTATGACATTATCTTCCAGTCTTGTAAGGACTTTTAAAGGACTTGAACTATTTACATTATTTGTTCTTATTTCAGAAATAATTTGAATTTCCTAATGGGTTCTTGGTGGCCCAATCTTGAAGATCTTTATGAAGCAAATGTTCCAGTGTATAGGTTTATTCAACGACCAGGAGATTTGGTCTGGATAAATGCAGGCACTGTACATTGGGTTCAGGCTATTGGCTGGTGCAACAACATTGCTTGGAATGTTGGTCCACTTACAGGTATTTTAAAGAATATGCTGGAAAAAAAAAAGTTTAATTTATAAAAGATTATACCTCATAAGTCTTGTCTTTTTTCGGGGGGGGCGTTATTATTCACTAAAAATTGGAAGAATGTACATCAAATCTTAATAATGCTGTATAAGAAGTTAAACTCAAGTTAACAAATGGAAATTCAAGACCATAGATCAAAATAGATAATAAATTTATGTCTTTATAAGCATAGAGAAAATAATTTTTAGAATTTCTGGTTATGTTTTATAAAGGAAACCCTTTATAGGAGAAAGCAAAGTAGAGTGGTTATCCATTCTTTCATATTTTCTTTTTCTAGTAATATAAACAGCCCTACTATGTCAAAATCTGTGTGAATTACGCCTGCCTGTAGGCATTATGTACTTAAGATTAAGAATATGACCTTTGCATTGAGGAAGAGGAAGACATAGAGAGGTATATAGGAGGTACAGACAACAAAGATGAACCCTTTTGCACACACAGTACTGCGTTGTCAGTGAAGGCAAGCATGGGTATGTGGATGGATAGATGGGTGGACAGGCTGAACTATTAGGTACATCTAATGAAGCAGAAAGTGTACCCAAGACCATATATAGACAATGGTCCTATAATTGTATTTGTATGATCTGTAAGAATTCCCAGGTGTATAGTAGAGTTGACAAGGGACAAGGTTGTAGTCATTTCTTGGTCACAGCCAGCTACCCAGAGGGACCGAGTAGTTGAACTGGTGGGCTCTGGACCATAGTCTCAGAGGACATCAAGCTCAATTGGCATAACATACTACACAAAACATTGTTCTACCTCCAATTTGCCGAGTAGTAACTGGGACCCTAAAAGCTTGCAACCAGCCATCTAGATGCAATGATGGGTCTCTCCTCATCCAGAACAAAGAAGAATGAAGAAAACCAAAGATTCATGGAAACAATTAGTCCTAGCGACTGGTACACCACGCGATCCACAGCCTATACGACTATGAGAACAGAAGAACCAGATGGTGCCCAGCTACCACTGTCACCCACTTGGAGGGGGATCTGTGTAGGAGATTCTGGATAGAGAGGGGGAGAACAATGTGGAACAAAACTGAAAATCATTTTTAAAAAAATGGGGCCAGGGGCCAGGTTTGCTGGTCTGATAGAGCCTGGTGGAACCACTGAGTCTATGTCCCCTAGCTGCCCTTCACGTCTGGAATTGAACCCACTCCTGTGGCTCCCAGCCATACTAAAGACATTTGAGCTGAACATTTACCCGAGGTAGATACACTCTTTGGAGAGAACAGTCATGGAACAAAGAAGGGCTATTTATGCACAGGGAGACAGTTCAGGTGGCAGGAGTGCATGGAGGGATGGACACATGGAAAAGGTAACCATTGGGAGGAAGTGGGAGCGCAGCTGTTGCATTGGGGTAAGTTGTAGTCAATGTCATGAGACAAAGTGTATGTGAACTGCTGTATGGAAAGTGAATTTGTTCTGTAAATTTTCACCCAAATCACAATTTAAAAAATGTCAAAAAAAAGAATATGGCCTTTGGAGCAAGAAAGACCTGGATTAGGACCAGGACCTGGCTCTTGCTACTTTGGGCAAGTTATTTAACTTTTCTGGGCCTCAATTTCTTCATCTATAAAATAAGGATAATAAAATTAATAAGGTGATTGTAAAGATGGAGATGTTATAAAAAATAGAATAGTGCCTGGCACATAAGCACTCTTTACGTTCTCGCTATTGTTGTTATTACTGTATTTATCATAAAACATAAAAATTATTTTTGTAGCGTTTTGAGGTTCTCAGAATTGGTGGTAAAGATATCACCTGAGAGAATGATAATGGTTATCTTCATATCTTTTGGTACTTTGGGTTGCTTTATAATTGTTGTTTTTTTTCGTAGCCTGCCAGTATAAATTGGCAGTGGAACGGTACGAATGGAACAAATTGCAAAGTGTGAAGTCAATAGTACCCATGGTTCATCTTTCCTGGAATATGGCACGAAATATCAAAGTCTCAGATCCAAAGCTTTTTGAAATGATTAAGTAAGTGCTTTCTAAAACTGCTGTAGTCCCTGTTTGGGGGGGGGGGGGTTATGGTAACTATTCAGTACTTTTTTTTCCCCATAGAATTATGTTGACATCAAAACAAAATCATCCAGAAATCATAGCTAAATGTAATATGAGAATCCGCCTTTCAAAAATATTTTTTCCCTGCTGAATAGTCAGCCTACTGTGATACATAGAGGAACAAAAGCATAAATGATTCTAAACCAGTAGATTCATAGCCTGTATTTCCCCTCTACTCTCTTAGCCATCTGATTTCTCAAGCGAACTTTAGTATTAACACTGAAAGTGTGCCTTTAGTAACGGAGAGGGTGATACCACAAAATAATTGTTGGTACAGAGAAAATTAGCATTTAATGGAGCATTTGACTGAAATGGTAATTTTCTGGTTATTTAATGAAATTATCTATCTTGTAATTGTCCCTTTTCTTAGCAGCTTTGAATACTTTATACAAGTTCTACAAATTCTTATATACTAACCTAATTTGACTTAATATATCCTGCTAAGCTTCTCATTTGTTACCATAGTTTCTATCCTAGCTACTTTGTAAGTTTATTTATCAGTAAAATTTTCAAAGGGTGCTATATTGCAGTGTTTCCCTAAACCATTCTCTATTGGGGAATTCTGGTTAAAGAAAATGGTAAATGAAGGATTGAATGTGTGTGTGTGTGTGTGTTTGTAAATAATTTAGAGAAATGTATGTGTTAATGTGTTTTGTGAATGGAGGAGAACCATAATAATGTACAGTATTTCCCAGACTTATTTGACCAGTATCTTTTGAGGAATCAGTCTCCCCCAAAACTTATTTTGGAATATGCTGCTTCAGACTCACCAACAAAATATGTTTGTCTTAGTTTTCTTAAAAGAAATTTTTATGATAAACATTTCTCCTGCAAGAATATTCATTTGGTCAATGTATTGTTTTTTAAAATACTATTATTTTGAAAGTAATCCTGGCTTATTAAAATTATCTCAAACTTAAATCCATAATTTTAGTTAAACAAAAATTTTGTGGCCATGATAAACATGCCTGTGAATTATTTTATCACTTAGTTCTTTATTGTACTATTTCATCTTATCTTAGGCATAAGGTATAGGGGGCAGACAAAAGGGAATAAAAACCAAATCATTCAAGTAATGTAGAAATCCTTTCAAAAGTTCATTAGTCCTAGGTACAATACTCTCTCTATAAATATAACTGGGAGCTGGCAGGAAAGGGGAGAACTGTCTATCCATTTATGTATTATGATACTTTGTTTTGAATAGCAAGTTCAGTGTTAACTTTTGGGAAGAAAGTTATCTAAAATCCCTGAAGATATTTACTGAGTTGGAGATAGGCATAAACTAGATGCTAATTCAGATCACCCAAGATAAAGGGATGGCATGATACATAGAAGCATTTATTTTCACCTGAGTACCCATGATTTTTCATCACTTGGCCAGTAAAACCAAAAGCTATATAGACTGAAAGTGACTCATTCCATTTTGTATAGGTTAGGATTTTATAATTGGAAGGATTTTAAAATTGCTTTAGTCAAAACTCGTACCTAATTCATTAATGCCTTCTATAGCATCAATAATTTGTGGTGTGGTTATCCATCAACTTAAATATTCTCATGGTTTCATTGTAATTCTTGAAGTTCTTTATAAATTGAAGTGAAAGCCACCTGTCATTTGATCTTAATTCCCTAAATATTATTCAGACTTGATGCAGAATAAATCATATTCAACAAATGTTTGAGAGTAAACTCCATGATCCCCAGTGTTCTGGGAATTGAGGATAGACACAGCAGGGTAGATAATAAAAATCCCCACCCTCAGGGCACTTAAATTCTGGTGGTGTAAAACAGACACACCCCAAACATATAAGTAAATTACTGATAAGTAATATGAGTAAGATGAGTTTTATACTTAGACGTGAATGGTGAAATGGAATCAACCATGTGGAGATCTAGAGATAGAACATTTCAGGCCCAGAAAACAAAGGTTAAACTATGAAAAACTTCTGCATGTTCCTGGGAGTTCAAAGCCAGGGTTACTATAGCAGAATAAAGGGAAAGAAAAGTGATAGCAGTAAGCACAATGACATGAGCAGGAACCAGGTCATACATGAACATTTCAGCCATGGTAGAAAATTTATACACATACACAGAAACTCACAGATTTTTTGAGTGCTATAGGCCACCATTAGAGAATTTAAAACAGGTTCTGAATTAAATCTTAAGAAATGTGAATCTGGTTGCTTTGTGGAGAATGGAATTTAAAGGGCAAGCTTCAAAGTAGGAAGGAGCTAAAGCTCACAGGGTGTGCCCAAAGATTGGGTGGGGTAAGAGGGAAAGAAGAATCAAGGAAGGACTGTTATCATTCTCTTTTTCCTACTTTCCTCCATTCATTTAAACATCTTTGACCTCTGTTATCTTTTCTATACCCTCCTCCCCTATCATTCTTGTCATCTTTCTAGACTCCTTCCAGTTTATCAGTGTCTCTCTTAAATACTCCAGATCTTGGGCATTGACACTTGCATTATCCTTGTTACAAAAGTTGTCTTGTGTTCAAATTAGACATAAAAATTTAGGTGTTTTTCCACTTAAAATTACTGATGATAACTGTTGTTCCCCATACCTTCCTTATGTTGGATTTAATTTAAAAAAAAAACCTAAATGCTCTTACATACTTAGATATACTCTATTTTAACCTATATTACAAAATGTCCACTCATTTTAATCTTGATTATATTCCTCTTTATATTAAGATTTCTGCTCCCAGCTTGAGTTGTCCCTGGGTGTGATTAGCACGCTCTTTCTGTCATCACGCCAATTGAAAATATTAAGCACAATATGTCCAGACCCCTATGTCTTACTTCATAAGCTGCCTTTTTAAAATAGTCATTTAGCCATTGCTAAAATATACTTGTACCTGCCAGCGTTGCTCCCTTTCTTTCATTTGCACTTTTTCTTTCATTTATTGAATATTTGCTGACCATAGACAGGACACTGGGCTAGGCATTAAGGGTTTATAAATAAATATCTGGTATAGATTCTGTCTTCAAGTAAAAGATGTTTTTGTTGTTAGGTGCCGTTGAGTCCGTTATGACTCTCAGTGGCCCTGTGTACACCAGAACAAAACACTGCTCAGTACTATGCCATCCTCGCAAGAGTGGCTGTGTTTGAGCCCATGGTTTCAGCCCCTGTGTCAATCCATCTTGTTGAGGATCTTCCTCTTTTTTTTGCTGACACTCTGCTTTACTAAGCATGAAGTCCTTTACAAGGAAAAAGCTTTCTTTATAAGATGCCCAAAGTACTTGAGACAAAGTCACTTCTAAGGAGTATTCTAGCTGTACTTCTTCCAAGATAGATTTGTTTGTTCTCCTAGCAGTCCATGGTATATATATGTAATATTCTCACCAGTTAATTCAAATACATCAATTCATCTTCTGTCTTCCTTACTCATTGTCATACTTTTTTTATGCATACGATGTGATTGCAAATACCAGTACCGTGGCATGGGTCAAGCATCTCTATCCTCAACATGACGTCTATGCTCTTTAACACTTTAAACATAGTGCATATAAATAGAGTGAGAAAAATTCAGTGACAGACCCACTATTCTTTCTAGTCTAAAGAGTCAGAAAAGTGTTTGAAGCTGTGCAATTCTCCCATTTTGGATGAAGAGTGAAGATGTGGAAGCAAGGAAAGTAGAGAAGAATACCACCTGAAGCCATCGTAAGACCCAATTCTTACAACCATTAGAAAAATACCTTAATTCATTCATAACATACAGTATACATTTATACCAGGTCTCCTTAAGTCCAACACGGTCATTTCTTCATCCAGTGAAGGAGTAAATTCCATTTATTAATTTAAGCACCAAGCAAAATAGTTGGATTATGTGTGGATGTCATGTTACATGAAAAAATTCGTCTTTGCAACCACTAAAATCATACTCAGCAAAGTAAGCTGCTCATGCTTAGAGAGCTCAGAGGAACTCACACTGCTTATCGAACCAACAGATGCACACTCACTCCAGGTCATCTTCTCTTTCTCTTGCTCTCTGTTCTCTCTCTAACACCTACTTCTCTTATCTTTCATCATCTCACTCCTTAGTATATATTTATGTAAGCTTAAATATATATATATGACATATCTATGTTGTTATATGTATGTTAACAACAGTTAGTATATTCTAACTTGAGTATAATGTGTATGATGAGTAGTAAAGTGAAATACACAGTAGTTGTAAAAGTTGGTTAGTGTTAGATCATGCTTGGGTCCCAAACTTAAGACTATTGCTAGAGCGCTCTTGGTAGGTACTTAAATTTTAATATATCTGAGTTCCATAAAGATCTTTCTAACAGTTAAATAAAAAGGATAAGTTTTTGGATGATATCACAGATCATTTCAAGTCTGGGTTCTAGATGGTTTAGTAGTAATTCTACTTGATAAATTGAGTTGATGAGCACAGTACTTTACACATTGTATCTCAGTCTGTACTCACAGCATCCCAAGGTCACTAGATTGGTTAGAGGCCGAATTAGGATTTATCTGTCCCACATGGCTTCAGTTTGGGACAGTGGTGAATTTGAGATGCAAGTGAAATAGTTGGGTAGAAGTGTTTAGAAGAGGCTATAGAAAATACAGAACTCTAGAGAGCAAAGTAGTTGCTGACTGATACTGACGTTTTTTACCTAACGGTTTGTAATTGCTCTGAGACAAAGAGGTGAGGAGGATTTGGGAACAGAACCTGGGGGAATTCTTCTGTTTAAGAAAAGGAAATGTTGATGATGTTGTTGGGTGCCATCGAGTCGTCTCCACTTCATAGCGACCCTATGTACAGGAGAATGAAACACTGCCTGGTCCTGGTGTTGTGGTTAGGTGCCATCGAGTCGTCTCCACTTCATAGCAACTCTGTGTACAGCAGAACGAAACACTGCCTGGTCCTGTACCAGCTCCACAATCCCAGCTATACCTGAGCCTATCAT